TTGACAAGAAACAGTCATAAATTTAGCGAGAAACGGGACTGACAAAGAGAGGAGGAGAGGAGGCTTTCCAGTCTGCCCTCTGGTCTTTGGTGTCTCCCTCCTGCTCTGTGGCACATATCAAAAACTCATTACAATCACTTTTGACATAGAGCGAGCATAAAGCAATGTAGAAGGCAAAGCCCAGCAGCTGAAAATATTGAAATGCCTAGCATTCGAGAAAATGGAATGAAATAATTATTAATAGAAGAAAAAATAGAGCGAAAAATTAGAGCGCCAGGCTGATGGACTGGCAGCTACTCTATGAAAAGATGCAAAGAGAACTTGAGAGCAGGAAAATCCTAGCAGCTGGCATATAAGGTAGGCTGAGTATAGTTCTGATGCTAATACATTTATGCTCAGATGCTTTCAATTAGTTATATATTCCTAGTTGTAAAAACTAATATTATCTTTCTCTCTCACTCTCTCTAACGTCACATATTTCCTGACAAATCCAAAATTCCTGCTTCTATCAAAGCTTCCTCATTGAATTCATTCATTTTCTATTCAAATTCTATTTCTCGCAAATACAATTTTTAATTTGTATTTCCCATTTTATATTTTCTGTATTTTTTTTTATGGTTCTGTTAATTACTGTTTGCTTCGTTGCGACTGTTTCTAATTAAAACTTGAAGCACTTTCGCAGAGAGGCCAACATTGCGAATCATTATCTCCGTTTGGCTTATTAGCAAATCGAATGGCTCTATTTTTTCTTCTTTTATTTAATGAAGCGGTGCTTAAAGCGCACTTTTCGATATTCCATTTCCAGAGACCACTCACAATGGCTTTTAGCGATTACACAAGCCACGACAAAAATGCGGCAAAGAGAACAGTTGGCAATGAGATAATAATACTAAAAAATGAAATAAATTGTAGAGCATGAAATTCATTCAATAATAACACAACGAAGTGACTCAACAGAGCTGGATACACTTACACAATGTGCAATTGTCGAGCCATAAAAATTCTATGGAATTATATGAGTATAAAAGACACGAAATAATTGTTTAAAATAGTCTTAAAAAGTCAAAAGGTTTTCCAAATATACATATATTTTCAATTGTAAAAGACAAATTTAATGAATTTTGTTGCAGCATCAGTTATTCAAATCGGCCTAAAAGAGCTTAAACAGAATTTAACATATATAATAGCATATCATGCAATTAATTTTACTCTCAGTCAATCAAGCTTGAACTCAAAGAAACAATTCAATTCGATTATATAGACATTCCAATAACAAAGAAAAAGTTAGTCTATCATTCAATTAGTCAATCAAATAGTTGATAAATCAATCAACATTTCATTTCGTTTGATTTGCCCATTTTTTGCTCAACTTTTCTAAAACTTCTCTTAAAAAATCTAGAAATTCCCCTTGCAGTCTATCAATAACTGCTCTATTTTATAGCACACACTTCACAATTTAATTGCTCTAATTTCCCAAAAAATAAAGAAGTTGTATATTTTTCCGTGAGTAATTACCCAAAAGCTCTTGAAAGTTGAAAAATGCTTTTAACGAGAATTTCGTTGTACGTCTCACTTTCGTTTTTCTGTTTTCTCTCTTTCATTTTTCCTCACAATTATTTGAAGCCATAAAAAAGAATGTTGGCTAAGTAACTCAACTGATAGGCCAACTTCATATTGTATTTCCGTCGCCTTCGAGTTCTTCCGTTTCTTATATAATATTTTTTTTTTCCATTTATTGCTCGCCTCGTTGCCAGGCTAGAAAGCCAAAGAGCTCCTCCCTAACAAAAGGAATGCAAACAAATTTTTGCACTTTTTTTTCTGTGAGCTCGCGGCTCAAAACAGCCACCGAGGGGCCACGGTTGGGCATCTTGGCATCTTTTCATAAATATATATATAGTTAATGGACGCGAGCTCTATTAGCTCATGCTGGCATTTTTATGGCGTGCGTCAGGTTATTGCATAGGAATCCTGCGGAAATATTGCTCGATTTATACTCGTTTACGAAGTGAATGGTTTGAATGATGCGCTGATATTGGTAGTCGGTACGAAAGTCGATAAAGAGATTAGAGAGAGAGAGAGAGAGGGAACGTCAATATAAGAACGATTGTGTTCAGGAAAGAGGTAGAGCTATACTACACTAAACTTAAACGAAATGAACCCATACTCTTTACTTTTACTCTCTGCCCTTTCCATTTGAAAATAGGAATATATATTCTATATATACCACTTAAACGCCCTATACCATCGATATATTATTTCATCAAGGAAAGCACTCTATAAACAATCTATATACCATTCCCCGATTAAAGCATAAATATTTCATACAAAGTTCTGTGCTCCTCCTTTAAAGATATTTCAATAAACCACTAAGAATATTTTAGCCCGAATTGCCCAACTAGAAGATACCCGACTATTTAAACTTTTACAAGGAAGAAGCGCAATTTCTTATACTTTGCAGCTAGTTAGTTAGTTAGCTCTTAGGCTACTCTAAAATCAACATCTTATATGACAACTCCAGCCTATCAAATTCTCATTGGAGTCAAACTATTTTAAGGTTAATGAGCCAGCATTATGCAGTCATTAGCTGCCGTCCATTAACCGAATTATAATGATAATCGCTGTCTAATTGCTTTTTAGCCGATAGCCAGTAATTAAAAGGTTTTGTTTTTCTTTTTGAGCCCAGTTAACAATAATCGGTTAGCTGACAGTTGATGGTTGTTCGATTTATCTGCGGCATGTGCCGCGGCTTCAGGCTATGCCAGAGCGAGCACAGATAATTGTAGTGCTACCACTCTGCAAATGAAACGAAGCGTTGCCACCCCCATCGACCATCCTCACACACACACACACACACACACACACACACACACACACACACACACAGAGAGCGAGTTATAACTGGGCAAAGTGGCTTGCATAAAGTAAACAAATTACGCTGTTGACCTTCATTCGCTTTGGTAGCAAAAGTTTTTGCCTTTGAATATGCCTCAATTGAGGCAGCACAAAGGATAGAATATAGAATATAGCGCAGAGGCAACGACAGCAACTGGCTCTGTCCCTGCCTCTGCCACTGCCACAGGCTCACAGACTCACACACACACAGACAATTTCCTTAGCATATTTATAGGCATTATTTTTCAATGATTTCAGCCAGGGGACTTTCCCTCGTTAGCGGCCAAAGCTCCACTTGTTATTATTGTTTTGTTGTTGTTGTGGAAGCAGATTTATGCTTTTCGAAAACTTTTTTAACAATATCTTGAATTTACGATTGTCAAAACATACATACACACACACACATACACAATATAGTCAGGAACTTGCTTAACTAACTGCCCTTACACTGAGAGAAGTGTTTTAGTAGGTGAATGAAAGTAGGTTTTAAAACTTTCCAACAGATCTCACAATAAAATAAAAATAAAAATATAAGATTTTGAAATCTAGAACATGGAATTTTTTAAAGTAACAAATTTTTGATACCATAAATAATCAAATTTTAGTTTTAGATATTGAAAAAATATATACTATTTTCTCTTTTTTTATGGTTTTCGTATTTTGATGGTCTTTTAGAGCACAATTTTTATCAACTAATTAAGTTTTTTTATTTTATTTTTATATTTATATTGAAATATAATATGCATTTAAAAAAAAAAAAAAAAAATTTTTTTTAATGTTCTATTTTATACTTTTGGACAATTAAATTAAATTAAATTTTTTAAACTTGTTTTTTTTTTTTTATCTATATATTAATATTATAATTATATCTATTTGTATTATTATTGTTACAATTATACAGATTTATTTTTATATAATATATGTAAATTATTTTTTCATGTCGCTTTTTTTTTTTTTGGATCTTTGTTGTTTTGATTGAGTAAGCTTGGTTGAACATTTAATTAGTGTCGCCAGCAAGTCGAGAAAACTCGATAAATAAGCCGGCTATTACGTGGCAACCAGTTTTAGTTGCCTCCGGCTCAGTTGCCTAGTTTGACCTTCGCTCTGTGTGAGAGGCAAGCGAAATTGACTTATTAAAAATGCTGTGCACTGCATTTCGATGAGGCTTGGATGGTTCTGCTGTTGCTGTTGCTGTTGCTGCTGCTTGACTGCACACATTCACATTTACATTTACTTATTCATATCGTAGTAACTGTAAAAAGTCAACGAACTTATTAGGCGCGCGCTGCCTTTTATGGTCGCAAGCATTTCACATTTACATTTTAAAGATATTTATCAGCGCGTTTTATTGGATAAATTTAAATATTTATTTGATTGGCAGCAGCGACACTGGCGCTGACGCCGGCGCTGGCGCTGGCGGCCAACTGTCACCAGAGCAACACGTTTGACAAATTGACATACTGGCAAATTGATGTTCAAATGTTAAAAACTCATCAAATAAATGCGCACACAAAGCCTATCTCATTTACACACTCACACACTTACACACACGTATGCACAACAAAACTTTATTTCCAGCCAAATAAACATCCGTGGCCAATTATCAGGGACTGACAAGTCTGTTCTTGACAATTGTGTTAATGAGCTCCAGCCAATGTCAACTTCAATTGCAAAGTCGTGCGACACCCGTTGCGAAGTTCAAAGCATTAAAAAAGGAAAATATATATATATATCTATATAACAAAATAAATAAATATTCAGGGAATGCCTGACTAAGACTTTCCCTGAGTCTACCCAACTATTACCCGAATTTCGCCTGACTAAAAGTTTCCCTCGAGTCTATCCAAGTCGCTAGATCTTTTATCTATCAATATACAGTAGAATCCCGATAATTCGAAATGCTTTTTTTTTTTTTCATTTACGGGGTACGAATTATTAAGACTCCACTGTACTTGGAACTGAAAAAATTCAATTCCCATAACAATTCATTCAAGTTATACAGAAATATAATTTTTATTTTAAACTGTTTCCGATGAAATTCATTTATTGCTCTCAATAATAAATACAGTTATACAAAAATTGTTTTAAATACAATTGGTAAACTCTCCTTAGAAGCAGACAATGCCCAAATGCAAAACCTTCTTGCAGATTTTGGATGTATGTGTGGAGGTGGGCTTTGTGGGACGTGGAGTTGGCTTGTGGGTCGGATGGTCATGGTGATGATCATGATGTGGATAGCCATGATTTGGATGGCCGTGGTGTGGATAGCCGTGGTGGGGATAGCCGTAAGGAGGATGTGAGCCAGGAAAGCCAGGACGACCAAAACCTGGATATGGAAATGGTGGTGGTGGCGGTGGTGGTATGATCGGTATAGGTAATGGCGTTGGTGTCGGGTTATTCGGATCCGTTGGATTTGTGGGTTGTGGTGTAGGCAGGACTGGTACGGGATACGGATAATACGGGTAATACGGATAGTACGGATATCCGGGATACGGGTAAGGGAAAGCCTGCCGCCCTTCACCAAGTGGTGATGCGTCAATTGCGTTGAATCCCTCAAGCTCGGTGCTCGAAACATCATCGACCGTATCCTGCTCCTCAACACTGTCCTCTTCCAGTTGCAAGTTCAGCGAGTCAGCGCCATCCTTGGCCAAAGCCAAGCCGCAGCAAAGTGACAGCAGAAGGCACAAATGAAATTTCAAGCTCATTTTAGGAGCGTTTGATTCGAACTGATTAATTGTCGAAATCTTCTAGCGTATTTATAGTCGGATTTCAAAAGGTATTCCAAGTGTATGGCGTATAACTTAATGCTCATATCAAATAGGACATCTGTCAAATTCGCAGTATTACAGCGCACGCAAATGGAAGACAACATCCAAAAACAAAGGGCTAATAAATCTCTAATGCGATTCGCAGTGACAAATGAATCTGAATTAGTTGAGCTATTAAAATCAGTCAAGAACAGATCAAACGCTGCCCCACTGCTTATCAATGATGGGCGAGGCTGCGAGCTAGCGAATATAAAAGCCAACATCAGAGATAACGGCATTTTGCTTTTGTTCTGGCCAAATCACAAAAACTATAAAAACACAATACGAAGAGAAGAGAGAGAAGAAAGAATGGGTATGTAAGAATTATATGTATAGATTCACAAATACGTGCATCTATGTTTATATGTTTTATACATGGGGAGCTATCATCAGATAGCTGTGGCAACTGCCTAAAGAAGTATTGTAAGGTCTAGGATGGTTTTCAAACAAATCGAGTTATTGCTTTTTACATTTATTTAATATTGCATAATTATTGTTCAGTTATAAATCCAATTACAAATCAAGTTTGAATTATTCTTTTAAATAAGTGCAAATTTTGCCAATGGGAAACACGTCCTTGCAAATCTTTCTTCTGTCCGAATCTGGGCGCGGCTTAGTAGGTTTGTATGTAGGCTTTGGTGGTCGTGTGGGCTTATATGTTGGTGGTGGTGGTGGTGGTGGTGGTGGTGGTGGTGGTGGCGGCGGTGGTGGTGGTGGTGGGAAGGGAGGGAATGGACCTGGGAATGGACCTGGACCTGGACCTGGAGCGGGACCTGGACCTGGAGCGGGACCTGGACCTGGAGCGGGACCTGGACCGGGAGCTGGACTGTGATGATGATGTCCATACACATAAGCTGGAGGCGGGTAGCCGTAGTACGGATAAGGATAGCTAGGGTAAGGAGGGTATCCATAGTATGGATATGGATAAGGATATGGATAACGGCTCGGAGCCGCCGCAGCCGCTGTATCCGCACGTGAGCTCAAGCCCGCATAGTTTCCTGCGTCTGCATCGTATGGATATTCAAAAGATCCCTGTCGCTTAGTGCCAACAGTCTCCGACTCGTCATCATCCTCCTCGACGCTGTTCGCATCACTGAAATAGTCAGCGGCCACGTAAACTTCCTGATCTTTGTTGCCATCGGCCTCCAGATTATAGACGGCCGATTGGGGATCCTCCTTGGCCACAGCCAAGCTGCAGCCGAGTGCCAGCAATAGGCACAGAGTAAACTTTAAGCTCATATTCGAGCTGTCAATGGGAACTGATACAGATCGCTCTGAGCCAATTAGTTTATATACACTTTCTGCTTGATTAATATGCGCAAAAATGGTTCACTGACGAATATGCTGAATGATATTTTCATTCTCAACACAATGGCAAGAGCCCCATATTCGATACCATCTATATGAAAATCATTTGATATTCGCTTAGAACATAACTGAATCAGAGCGCGGTTATGGCTTTGTTCGCGTTTCTTATTGCTTCACATTTGCATATTTCAAATAAATCACATACCAAAGGCTCATATGACGATATTGTAGATAGTTTTAAGTGGGCCTTTGAATAGAAGAAATTTGCGTATGGAGAACATTTCTTTTATATGGATATCTTAATTATGTGGTAAGCAATTTCTATTGTAAATCATTTTACTACCTCATATATTTGGTATACCAGCTCGAATCAATTTTTCCATCTGAAGTCTCGTTTTGCATAATTTAAAGACAGTTTTTTTGTTTTTGGTAGCTTTCTTTTTTATTTATCATCAACATAAATGGATATACCTGGTGTACAGGCAAGGCCTAGCTTCGGTATTTTCGTGCAAATTCTCACAGTATCAAGTCTTCTTCTTGGAGGTCGGTAAACCGGAGGTCGATACACTGGTGGTGGATACACTGGGTGTGGGTACACTGGGTGTGGGTACACTGCGTGTGGGTATACGGGGGGTGCATACACTGGAGGTGGATAAGCCGGAGGTGGATAAGCCGGAGGTGTATAAACGGGAGGTGAATAAGCCGGAGGTGAATAAGCCGGAGGTGGGCCAGGTTGCGTCGGATATATAGGATGTGGTCGATGTGGAGGAGGTGGAGGAGGTGGTCCTGGACGAATAGAAGTCGGTCTCGTTTGGCATGGATAAAAGTAGGTATGATCCTGAACGGTCGTATTGCAGTAATACGGATAAGCGAATCTAGCCAACTTAATATCAGCATAGTCAGCGAGAGCCTCGCCTTGCCTCAGATCGTCATACTCATCATCAGATGTATAATCATCATTGTAGTCCTCCTCCGTGGGCAGTGCTAGAACCGCAAGGCCAGAACACAAAAACAAAGCCAGCCCCAAGCAGAAGGCCGCTTTAGAGTTCATTTCGTAAGCGTGTCTTTTCAAATGGCTGGCTTTGTCTTTCACAAATATGTTTTTATAGACAAAAGATATGTATATTAATTATGGCCAATGATTGACCCCTAATACATTCAGCATGTGCACACACTTAACCCAATTTCACCAACTAAGTGGACTGGTCCAGAATGAAATATGTTTCACATTTGACACGGCCACTTAAAAAAAAAAAAGAGAGCCGCATCCATAATCAAACGATCTATTCTAATTCAAATGAGTTGAGCTCATATCGTCAGCTTTGGGAGCACGGAGAGGCTAAAAAAAATCCTAAATTTATGGAAATCAAGGTATATCGGATTAAATTTGGCTTTGAATAAATTAAGAATATATATGTATTTTTATACGCAACTTGAGATCGGAATCTCATTAACTATTAGTTTCCAACCTTTTTTTTAGACCATTTAAACTTTATAATTTGCCAATTTGAATTAAGAGTGAAATAGTTGGTAGAACTTACTTTAATACCTCGAACCCTATAAAGTCAACGAAGAGCTACAAAAACTAATCATAATTTTCAGATTTTTAGATTTTTTTTAGAGAAAAAAATTTAGTAATAATAATATACCTATAATGCAAACTAATAAACGGGTTACTAATACTAATACTATACAAATATTAATTCTAATACTATTAGGTATTGTACCTGAGATAAGAGATCTGAAAGCTTGCGCAAAATTAAACAAGTGTTCAAATGCCCTCGGCTATGAATAAAAAATTCAATTTTCTGAGAAGTCTTTAGAGTAGAAATGAATGAACATGTTAGTTTGAGATAGTTCTAATTCATCAGTACTCATTAGTAGAATCAATGCTCTATGCTCATTATCATATTTTGAGTAAATAAGGTCAAAGCCTCACGAAATAAGTGAAATTTTAATGGGAATATGCACAAATCTTCAACACGTGATATGCTTAGATAGCTCTAGTTTATCGGTACTCATTAGTTGAATCAATATTATGTACTCATTAGCATATTCGGCCCAAAAATAAGGTTAAAGTCTAACGAAACGAGTGAAACTTTGAAGTGAATGTGCAAAAATCTTCTCCACGTGTTCCTCAAAGCGCCAGGGATTTGACATTCAACAATTTAACTTACCAAATTAGTTAAATGATTCAAACTTTCATTCACACTTTGATGACGCAAATAGTCGGAGCTAATTTAAATTCCAAATAAAGAATTCAAATATTATTGGTCGACTTATCAACTTTGACATGGGAGATATTAAATTGAGTTTAAAATATATGCACATATTCTAGGGAATATATATTACTAAAACAAGTAAGAAGGCTCCAGTCGAGACTGCTCGACTGGGAGATACCCTGAACCCTCCAAGCTGATATTCTACTCATTCTGCACTTCTTTTATGCACACATGCATACACACGCACGTATATCACGGGCTCTGCTGACTGCGCAGTTAGCAGCGACAGACCTTGAAGTGTGGGCAATATTATGAGAATTTATTTGGTAAATATATTTTCTTGTAGTAAGACTATCTTAATGAAACTTTCAGAACGTGATGATATGATAAGAATGTGTGTACCATAGCACAAGTCTCTAGTACTTGAAATACGCTTTTCACAAATTGGTGGCAAAGGGGGCGTGGTATCCAAAATCTGTACATTACAAAATCTTTGTATCTATTAGCTTTATATACAACGCAAATTTGAAGACTCCAGGTCTAAAAATGTTCAAATTAGGCTGAAAAAACAATGCCGATTTTTCGATTATTCTCGATAAATAAGTTATCGGATGAGTTATCGAAAAAATAAGATAAACTTGTACTGCCTATGGTATACACGAATATGCATGCGATTTCAGCTCTCTAGCTCTTATAACTTCTGAGATCTAGGCGTTAATACGGACGGACGGACAAACGGATAGAGCTATATCGAGTCAGCTCGTCGTCCTGATCAAGAATATATATACTTTATGGGGCCTGCGATGATTCCTTCTGCCTGTTACATACTTTTCACAAAACCATTATACCCTGATTTCCCATTTTGAATGGGATCAGGGTATAAAAATTGATCGCACGGATGGTAACTATTTATGCGCCGCACCGATTTGCATATCTAATCGGGAAAACATTAATGAACTACGAACTTGTGTGCCGACACGCCTCAACAAAATGAACTCTATATAAATACGCTCTGCCGTGCTCAGAGGATCAGTTCAAATATTAAAATCAAATCAATAGGCCACACAGATGAATATGTTCAAATTTAGTTGCGCATTGCTTGTGCTCTGTGCACTGGCGCAAGCGCAAGCGGTCAAGGTTCGGGCACAGGCTCGAGCGGGTGCAGAGCTGCCCATTTCTGCCGAAGATGTGGACGAGGAGCCTGAGCAAGAGGGTCGTGTCTTTTCGATTCTACGCGATTCGGATCGGGACAGATATCATGATCACAGGCCCATTATAATACAGCAGCCACATCAGCCGTCATACCCACACTATCCGTCTTATCCAAGTATCCAGCCGCCGCAGCCCTATCCACAGCCTTATCCACAGCCGATCCCGTACCCAGTGCCATTCCCTCACCATCACCATTCACAGCCACCAACGATTATTAAACCCATCATAAAGCCAGTTTATCGTCCACGTCCTGGCTGGGGCGGTGGCTATGGCGGCTATGGCGGCTATGGCGGCTATGACGGCTATGGCGGCTATGGTGGCTTGGGTGGTCGCTTACCATTCATCAACATAACCTATGCACCCGTTATCCGCTCTGGAGCCGCCACCGGCACTGGAACCGGCACTGGAACCGGCACTGGTACCGGCACTGGTACCGGCACTGGCACCGGCACTGGCACCGGCACGGGCACTGGCCCGGACGACGGGAGAAGAGCCAATCTAATGGAATTGAATGGCTTAGCTGAGCTGTTGGGTCAGGCCTTGAGTCAACAACAACAATTCACAGGCCAGAATACATTTCAGCCTGATCAGCGATTCTATCAACAGCAAGCGAAGCCACAACAATTTTATGCTCAATCCACTGACGGTCAACTCTTTGCCTCAAATATGATTCAGCCACAGCTGCAGCAGCCGGAGCAGCTATTTGACGAGCTCGACACTATTCAGAAGCCGAAGAGAACACAATACCTAGTGCGTCGCACTCAGAAATCAAAGAAGAAGAAGAACAAGAAGCGATCGCAACAACTGGTGTACCTGGCCGTCGCACCTGAAGCCGACTCTGATGCACAATCCACACTAACGGAGGAGGCTGCCTAATTGCAATAATCATAATCAATAAAAATATTTTAAAATAAAATTCTTTATAAAATTAAACATATATTTTTGTGTGCTATATGATTTGATTTTTTTATGGGTTTTCAGTTTTTTTCTATTCTAAGAAAAGCAAACCAATATCAGAAGATTTACAAATATTTTCAACATTTTGAAGAGTCTACATGATTTAAAAATTACTCGAGTCATTTTTATTACTAACAAAATAAAAATTGAGCATGCATTTTTATTTTCTTTTAAAGTCTTGGTTAATTTTTAAAATTTTGCTCAATTATTTCATTTGCGTTTACATCAAATTTGGTTTATTTGGCAATATATTGATTATCATAATTTATTTATATATTATTTATTTTTGTCGTACATAATACATTTAAACAAATTTAATTGTTTTACTATTAAATAATTGACAAAAAACAAATAATTTTTAATTATTTTATTTTATTTTAATTATTATTTATACGTAGTGCATAAATACCACAAAAATTGAAAAGCATAAAATATAGTAGTAGTAACTTTTTTTTAAAGTTTTTTAATTATTTATTTATTTTTTTTTTAAATATATTTTTATTGAATATTTGTGATTTCTTTTTCTTATAAAACATTTTTCTTTTTTAATTTTTATATATTTGTTATAAAACTTTTTTAATATATTTTTTTATTTTATTTTTTAGATAAAAATTAGTTTTATTATTATTATTTTTTTTTTAAATTTTAATTTGTATTTTTTTTTTTTTTTTTGGGTTTTAAAAATTCAAATTTTTAACGAGATTCATTATTTTTATTTGGAATAAAAAAAAAAAAAAAAAAAAAAAAAACTCTAAAGTTAAGGACTTTTGCTAAACAATTATGCAAATGACATCGAGTTAATATTTTTTATGGCGAAAAGATTCCCCGACAGGCGGGAACTTAAATCAGAAAACTAAAATCTAATTAGTTAAATGTCAATTATTTATTCAAATAGAAACTCAATTTAAATATGTGGTGAAAATATTGGGTCAAAATGGAGTCGAATGGCATGTTATAAAAGGCAGGCCGATTTGTGGGACCCTGGTCAGTGCGTCAAACGCAATACGCCTAACGAGATGTCAATGTGCCAGCAGCTTCACCTGCTGTTGCTGTTGTTGGTTCTTGTTGCTGCAGCTGACAGCAAATCGATCGCTGCACAACAGGAGCTGCGCCAAGCGCATCCGAATCGCGTTGTACTGGAATTGCCAACGATCAATTTCACCAGACTTTATAATGAGCGACCGTTGATGCATTTCAGTCGCCTCTACAACAGACTTTTCAATTCCACCAAAGAGAAGCCAGAGGAAAACAATGTGAGTAAGGAAGACGAAGAAGAAGAAGCAGCAGCGCAAAGAGAACAGTTCCGTTGGCCATATCCCTGGAATGGCAACTATGATCCAATTAGCGGCCGACAGTTCAGCTCGAGTCAAGTGCTCAATGTACAAATACCGAATCAAGCAAATGGCCAACAGTTCTATGGCAGCTTTGGTGGCCTTAGCTATGGCGGAGGCGGGGCAGGAGCTGCAGCTGGACTTGCCTTTGGAACTGGCACTGGCCAGGGCTATGGCTTCACATTTCCGGGCTATCCACAGATCTTTGGCTCAAGCGATTATAATCACGTACCTACCGTACAGGTGTTCGAGCAGCCTGGATTTGGCATTGGCTCCCCCTCCAATTATTACAATCTGATTGCGACGAATGCTGATCAGCCAAACGACATCTTGGCGCCCTATCAGCAGTGGGTGCAAGAGCAGCAACTGTTCAGTCCACGGCCAGCGTTGGCCTACGACGATGGGCTGGACTATGGCGAGGAGTTGGAGGATGTGGAGGTGGAGAACGACTTTGGGTACGATAAAGACGACGATGAAGACGAATATGAGTTGGATGAATATGACGACTATGGCGATGGGGAAGACGAGGGGGAAGATGAACTGTGGCGCCAAGCCGATGGCAGCTCAAAAGTCAAACGAAAGAAAAATCAAAACAAAATCAAAAGCAAATCGAAGCCAGGCAAGAAGAAGCGCAAGCAACAGCGAGCAACAAAGTGAATTATTTATTAATTAATTAGGGTGTTAAATAAATGGACTGAAAGAGATTGTTATAAATATGAACAACAACAAACTACAAAAAATTATATATATTTATATATATATATATTTTATTATTCTCTGTTTGTTTGGTGAAATTTCTCCGCTTTGGTGAATTTCACTATTTAGCATTTGGCAATTTGAGAGTTTACTAAATATGCAAAAGCTTCGATAGCGTCATTTCAGTTGCTCAGCGAACTCGCAGCGCTATGAAGCGACAAACAGCCCTAGATTTGATTGCGCTGATCTGTCTATTGGCGGCAGAGATTCAAAGCCAGCCTGTACTGGTGTACATCAGGGAGAGGAGCGATGCTCGTACGACTCTGCCTTTGCTATTGCTGCTCAGCTATCGGCCCCAAGTCGGCGTCCCCATTCCCATTCCCATCCGACGGCCGCTAAATGAGCCAACGATAACGAGGCAGCCGCCAGTACAAAGCGATGAGCCGGTCGATGCCAACGCCCAAATACGGGAACAGTTCTTACAAGGTATACTACAGGGCCTGCAGTCCACGGAGGGCGGAGTTACCGTCCCGCCCGCTGTGCTCGCCGATGTGCTGCAACAGGTGCAGACAACGAAGACGACGACCACGACGACGACGACTAGAGCACCTAAGACGATGTTAGAGGAGGTAGCTAAAGAGCCAAACAGCAATGACAATGACCCCGATTACGATTATATAGACTTTAAGAACGGTTCTCGCATCAAATACGAACTGGATAATGATCAGCAGTTAAATAATTCGCAGTTTGCCAATAAAAGACCAGTTCGAGCGATCTAGTGCCGGCGCGGTCATTAGCTTAAGCTGATTTACAAAAGCCCAAAAATGTTGCTATTCTATTTAAGTTGAAGAAAAAAAGATAATAAATTCAGCCATACACACACACACCCAAGCTAAATAGCCTTACATATTATATATAAGCACTCGAGCTGCTTTTGGAACTATTCAGTTCTAGACGTGGTGCTGCTTGGACGACGTGAAAGAATCTGATTAAATAAAAGTTTGGTCTTCAAATCAAAATATGTTAATTGATCGCGTTTGGCTATTGCTACTACTGGCCGGCCCTATATGGGCACAGTATTCCGCGTATTACCCTAATCCATGGCCACCGTCACAGGCACCGACTGGCTATAGTCCATATAGTCCATATAGTGCATATAGACCATACTATCAAACCAACTATGACAGGAGCACCTGGGAGTACTACAACTACCTTTACTTCTTGGCCCTTCAGAGATATAATTTGTATTATCAAAATTTAGCTAACCAAGCTACGACAACTACAACCACCGCAAGTCCGCCAACCTCAACAACCCCAACACCTACAACATCGACAGCTATTCCCACTTCCACTGGAACACCCACAACGTCGACAGCTATTCCCACTTCGACTGGAACACCTACAACGTCGACAGCTATTCCCACTTCCACTGGAACAGCCACAACGTCGACAGCTATTCCCACTTCCACTGTAACACCCACAACGTCGACAGCTATTCCCACTTCCACTGTAACACCCACAACGTCGACAGCTATTCCCACTTCCACTGTAACACCCACAACGTCGACAGCTGTTCCCACTACTCCTAGCACTGGTACAACCGTAAACGCAATTCCCACTCGTCGCTTTCATCCGATAAACTATGGAAATGGATATTACGCTAATGATGATGATCTATATGATCCAGCTGCTGCTCTTGGTAATGATGATGACGCACATACATCACTTATATTTGAACCCGACAGGCAATTCGTACACCTCACTGATAAGAACGGCGAGCCCCTGATATTAATAGCGCCCAATCAGAAGCCATTGAGACGTCCCGTCGGAGCTACTCAGCCCGGTTACACCTACTACAAGTCACAGCCGCAGGCAAATCAGTTTATCCCAAGCTTGACTCCAGTTAATTAGACTAGATAGTTATTCGCATATTTCTGACGATTGACGAAATGAGATAATAAAGATAACAATTGTAATTTATTGAACGACATTAAAGTAAGTCTCTATAAAATCATTTGCTGGGTCCAAACGTCAACTCAGTATCACGTTCAACTCTAAGCTAAACAGTTAGCCGAAGGACAACAACAAGGATGTTGATCAACTTCGTTTTCCTGTTAGCGCTAGCTGCTGGCTCCACTTGGGCTACAGTCTTTAAGACTATGGCATATACCGTCCCCGTGCCTGTTTGGGATGTCAGCGGTAGCTACGCACGTCTGGTTAAAGTTCTTAGGGCTCCATCGTATCGATGGTCGATACACCAAAAGTATTTCCAACTTCCTGAAGATCACAGTCATGACTATCACGATGAATCGGACACATGGAGCAACGAAACGCCAGTCTTTTTGAAGCCAATGCATTTGTTCAACTATCGTCATCGCAAAGCAACACCAACAACAACAACGACAGCTCCTATAACAAAGCCAACACCGATAGTAGCATCATTTGAAGAAACTACGATGAATCCAATGATGGAGGAAATAAGGGATGAGCTCTCAACTGATGCAGCTTCCTTGCCAATGAAGAAGAAGCACAAGAGGACTGAGTCTAAACTTAGCTTCTCATCGCATTCAGCTTCTCTCCTGTGCAGCTTCAGTCGACGTCTGTGTCATCTGCCCGATGATATGCAATTGGTCAAACTCCAACAGCCTTTGGTATTCGCAGCACCCGGCAGCAAGTTTCAGAGTCAAAGATATTTCACTAATGCGAAGCTCTCTCCTCGTCACGTTCCATCGATGTTTTATTGAGTTCGGTTACGCAATGCAGCTTATTAAACTAGAAAGTTATTCAAGCAGTCTATAAATATCCGCAACAGCACAATGATAATAATAATAATAATAATAAAGCGTTTTATTATTGTCCTATTCTCTTAGCTGTGGCTGTCTCATTGATAGATTTATTGTTATCGAATCGAGCAACTGTATAAAATCAGTTCAGCGATCGCCTTGGAGGCTCAGTTTTGCTCTATGGCAGTTCGTGCGAAGATATAAATGTTAGCCTATACCCTGTGTTTAGTGCTGGTAGCGGCTAGCTCAGCTGTCGGCATGTCGGTGCGGCGTGGTGAATATAGAGGTCAGGTGCCCGCTTTGGATCTAAAGGATGCCTATATGCAGTTAAGGGATGCCTTTAGAGGAGCCTCCATTAAAATACATCTATACGATGACAATAATAACGTGGAAGAGCAAGATCCTGACGATTATTACTATCCACCCAGTTGGAACTATCCGGCTAAGCCTATTGGACCTCCCTACCCAATCTCCTACCCCTATCCAACAGCAGAGACACCAACAGAGCCACCAAGTGAAACATCGTCAAAAATACCCAGAAGACGTCTTGTCTCCCATCTCTTTCTACCCAATAATATATTTAGCGTATCTGAAACATAATGCGATTTCATTAGTGTAGAAAATTATTTATTGCATAGTCCTATACGTTTGTATATATCTAATCAATATAATTACAGAATTTTAAATGTTATTGTAATTTTTGTTTGGGTCTGTTTTCTGTATAAATTCTATGCGTATTTCTTTTGGGATATTAAAGTGCAACAGCTCTAGCGGAAAGTTCCAATTGATCTAAGCCGCCATGCAATATCTCACGGTTCGTCCCATAATGGATATATTTACATCAATCGACCGATGACACGTGCCTGTTCCACAAAGCCGCCTCTCTCAACAGCTGCCCCTCCTCCATAGACTTTATTGAGCTGTGCTGGCTGTAAGGTATGCCAATGAATTAATCTTGCGGAAAATCCAAAAGACTCTCCCTACTTTTCGCATATGCACAGCGGTGGTCGCTGGCTTCATCAAGTGATAATTGTTTCCCATTGTCTTTAGAGTATTGTTTAAGTTTTCTCGATGCCTCAGGCCGCCATCAGTCATTCATGTACGCCAGCTGTCATATTTTGGCATAAACTTCGTTTATATAAGAATCACTCTACCCGTAGTAGCGCTTAGTTAAATTCTGTGACTAAAACTAAAACGATTCGACGATGCTCATAAGTCGCGTGTGCCTTTGGCTCATGCTGGCAATGCCTGCATGGAGTCAAGCAAAAGAGGATGTAGGACAGATGAGATTGAATATGCCTGGTTGGGATATGAGCGACTTGTATTCGCGTATAACAAACGTGTTTAGCAATTCGCACAAACGGCAAAAAACCAGACCAGAAGCGGTGGATCCAGTCGCCATTGATGATTACTATAATATTTACTGGCAGAACTATTATTTGCAAAATCCGCCATATATTCAGTATGTGCCCTTGCCACGGCCGCCACCAAGACCAAGGCCCTCACGTCGACCTCGACCCTCTCGCCGGCCTCGACCCACAACTACACGAAGACCTGTAACTGTTTCAACAACTGCCGCAACAACCTCAACCACGCGTGCCACAACAACTACAAGAACAACCGCAGAAAATGCAACCGATGCCCCCGTAGAGGAAACAACACAGCCATATACTTCTCCAAGGCCGCCCGGTACGACTGGTTATAAAAAATATGTTATGTCACTTGACAACTCCGATGATCTCCAGCCGGAGCAACAGTTGTCTGTCAAGACGCAGCCGCAATCGATGTCTTCTCTTTGCCATTATCATCCCGAGCTCTGCGATGAGCCTGAAAATGCGCACTTTATGGAATTAATTGATGGAAATGGTCATGCCTTCATATTGATATCTGCACCCACAACAACGAGAAAGCCTCTTAGACTCACCATGAAACCAACACGCCGATACTATAGTCAAAGCAATTTTGATTCGGACGGTAATAGTATCTATAAGATAGCATCACAATATCAGGGTAGAAATGCGAACTCCCGTTTGATGCCAAGACGTTCGCATAAACGAACAAACAAAAAGCAATAAAGTTGAGTATTGAAAGAGATGTAAATTATTTGTGGATAATAAAAATCACTAATTGAAAATAAACGACATATTAAGTTCGGAACAAGGCAAAGCTTAATCTAAATAAAAGTTTTGAAAAAGTTTTGAAGTACTCAAACTTGATTAGTTCCAAAAAGTCAGTAGGAAATGAACTCAAAAATTCTATTACAGATACATATTTAGATATGACAATAAATTTTCTGTCTGTCTTTTTACAAAACTGATAAAAGGACTATGATATATGAGCATCTATTCATAAGGTGTTTTGTTCGAGAAACTTTCATTTTTCTATATACAAAAACAAGTTTTTGGGCTCTGAACGGGCCAGTCGTTAGCGAGCTGCAAGAGCAGCAGGTACTTAGAGCTTAAGCAATGCGGGCAACACGAATTATGCCATTACTGACGCTGCCGCTGCCGCTGCCGCTCCCGCTGCTGCTGCTGGTCGTACACAGCAGAGCTGAGACACAGAGCGCTGCGCACCTACAGCAAATACCACAATTAAGCCACGAACAGGTGGCCCTAATCGCAGCCAATGCAACAGCGCGCTGTCAGCTAGTGCCGCAGCTTTGCGATTGGCAGCTGCACCTGTACGAGGGGCATGCCTTCCAGGTGAGCTTACCTGAGACTGGACCTGAGCAAGACGAGCAGCTGCCCAGCGAACCAAACGCACAACAACTGCTCTTCACAGTGCCCAGTGCTGAGCATGAGCAAATGCTGTTAATCTATGCGCAGGTGGAGCGGAAAGCGAAGCCCAGCTTAAAAACCAGAAACAAATCAAAGTCAAAGTCAGGGAAAAGAAAGCGCCGTCTTATGTCAACAAACTGAAAGACAGGTCCGAAAAAAACCGAAAAGCTCAATAAATCAAAACATAGAATAAACAAAGAAATAAAAAATAAAGTAAACAAACACCAAACGCTTAAAAAGCTTAAGATTCATTATAGTTTATTTTGTTGCTTTTTTTTTTTTTTTTTTTTTTTTTAATCTACCGATCCATTCAGTAGCAAATGCCTGGCGGCTGGTCCGATCACACGATAAATAATATCTATTTAGCTCATTAATGTCTAATTCACACCAAGTCAGCGGGCTCTGACGCGGAAGGCGTTCGACCGCTTTCAACTTTAACCTGTGACCACGCGACCCTGGCTTAAAATCCCAACAACAACAACAAAAATGACATCAGCAACAACAACAACAACAACATTGAGTTTCTCAATCCTATGCGTATTTAATTAGGTGTGAACCCTAAGCTCTTCTTTTCTATTTGTTCAATTAAATATTAATAAATTTGGACCCACGAAGTGGCAATGTGAATGAAAAAGTTAAGAAGTCAGCTTGAGACCTTTGACAGCGTCATGTTTACCTAAGAGGTCGTCCGAAAGTAACAAGAAAAACATCAACAATGTCTTATTCATTATTAAACAGATTTGCATACGCAAAACTCTTGCCATAGAAATAGCTGAGAAAGCGCAAGTGAAACTCGTGAAAAAAAGACAACGCAATAAAATGGGAAAGACATTCATCAAATAATTAGCAGCTCATTCAAAGCAAACAAATAAAATATTCATAATTTTGACTTACTTTTGGGGATTCTAGGCATAGGGTTATGTTTGGGGTAGGACCTGAGAGCTCGTGTTACACTGTTATATGTGTTGGTCTAAGTCTTTGTGTGCTAGAAGAGAAGCAATGCCTTAACCAGCCTTAAGATAAATGTATTTTGTTAGATTTTCCCTCTTTCATCAGTCTTTTTTTGTTCGGGATAAATTTTATATATAATAATGAAGTTCAGGTTTCCAGTTTTGTTCTTTATTTAAGAGAGGACCTCGCAAGACGATTGTCAATAAAATGTTTATATTTATATAATATAATAATTACAATAATAATAAATTAATATAATAAATATATTTCTGTCAATTTCAACTAGATGTACACTCAGAATATTTAATTTCAAATCAAACACTTTGTTTATTTTATTGAAGGTCCTAAAGAGGCTTCCCAGAAATCAACCCTAGCATATGGTTTTTGGCATTACAAATCTCAAAGTAAAGTATAAATTATTTCAGTGCTAATTAAGTCTAAATACGTATGGTAATCCTATAATATATTTATATTTAATTTTTTCTTCAATGCCTACATCAAACATTTCATTATAGCTCCTCTTTCAAGTCCCTCTCCCACCACCGCTCTGACATTGTAATCTCAGCTATTTAAGACTTGTACATTCAATCGTAAAAACGTATACAAGTGCGTATACAAACTGGTTAGATTGAACGAGCTTCACAACTTTTTAGCGTTCATTGTTGTAGTTTTACGATTATATTTTATTTTTTATTGCCCAGTACGAAAAAAACATTCAGAAGAAGCATAAACTTACATGCTTGCGTTTGCTGGTAATCAACCCAAAGAGCTTGAAAAGCGGAAATTCAATTCAACGCTGGCCAAGCCAAATCCAACTTAGGAGCTAAAACCCCAATACCCATTCTCACTAAATTCACAATCTCCTATTCTCCCGCTCCAATCGGTTCTTCTGTCCGCATCCGTTGGGCCCGTTCGTCGTTGGCGTCATCATCGTCAGCGATGCTATCATAGATCGTATTCAAAAATTTTCTAATTTCCGCATATGGGAGTATCTGCCACCAATTTGTCGTAGTTTCGATTTCCTGCTCATCAGTAGGTCGTCGCTTGCCCTTTCCTTTGGTTGTCTTTTGCCCCATTTTCCCGGATTGCCCCTTTTGCCCCTTTTGCATTGGTTGGCGTTTGTCCTGTGAGCTGATTTCCGTTGTCGCCTTGACATCTGCTGTCTGTCCAACAGCCGTCAGCAGCTTTCGAGTTGGAGCTGGAGCCGGAGCTGGAATTGGAGCTGGAGTGGGTCCTGCTTTCGGCTTTGTATCAATTTCATTTGGTTTGTGTGTCTTTGTTTTTTGTGTTTTTGCTTGCGTTCGCTTACGCTTCGACTTCACTCGTAGAGGCTTATCTACTGCTGCTGCGGCTGTGGGTCCTACTTCAGCTCCAGCAGCATCAGCTTCTGGCTTGGACTCGAGCTTTGGCTTGCCCGACATATTCATGCCAGTTGCTGGGCCATCATTGTCATTTTGGCTGTCATCTTTCTTGGCTGCATCCACAGCAGCAATGTGTGCGTCAGCAACATTTTGATCAGGCTTCGTTTTCAGTTGCAACTGAAGTGCGACTGGCTCCAATCTCTCATATTCTTGCTTTGGCTTGTCCATTGGCTGCTCTAACTTTGCTCCTGTTTTATGTTCTCTCATCTGTGTCTGCATCTCAATTTGTTGCTGCTCCACTGTTTGCTGTTGCTTGAGCTCTGCCGTCTGCTGATCTAGCTTTAGCATCTGCTCTTGTGGGTCAACTTCCTTCTGATGTTCCAGGTTCTCATCAGGCTTTGACTCTTCCTTTCTCAGTGGCTGTGGATGCTCTTTCCTCTGCTCTGTATTGGGCACATTTCCAGCTAGATCTTCTCTCACCTGCTCTTGCGTTTGTTCCATTTCCGTTGTTCCGTTCAGCTCCAGCTGCAGCTCTTCTTTCATCTTAAGCTTATCTTGTTCCTCTTTCATTAGTTCCTCCTGATGCTTCTTGAACTTTGACTGCTGCTCTTCTCCATCTGTCTCCGGCTGCAGCTCTTTCTGTTCCATCAGTTTCTGTTGCTGTTCCACTTGCTGCTGTCCCTCTTCATTTGCCTGCCCGTCTATCTGCTCCAACTCCTGCTCTCCGTTCACCTGCTGCTGCTGTGTCTGCCCTTCTATCTGCTCCCTCTTAATGCCCAAGTACTTCTCTAACCCCTCGACCTCCACATGGTTCACATTTACAATAGTCTTCGACTGTTGTCCTGACCTCAGCTGCTCTCCTCTCTCTGCAGTTGTTGATGCCATTTCGATTGTTGTCGCATCATTTGTTCGCTTTTTGCTGTCATCTGGCAGCTTCGCCAGTTTGTCCAACTCCTGAGCTGCTTCCATTTTGGCTAGTTGTGCTTTCAATGGGCTATTTGCTCGAGTGTTCGTCAAAACTTCATTCGAGTTGCTCGGATTTGGCTGTGCGGTTGCCACATCGTCTGCCCATCGCTCAGGTAATGCCAATTTTAGATTTAATGGACTCTGTTGCTCCGGTTTCTCCAATTCAGGTGACTTCTCAACTAACCCCTTGTCTTTGTCACTTCCCAGTGTATTTATAATCACAATTTTCTTTTTGCCCTTGTCCTGGACATGAAACTCGTGTGAATATAATCTCAAATTCATTTGCATCTGCGCCAATTCACTATTGAGAGCAGCTAATGAGGCTGGATCCATGCTGCTCGTAGGTTCTCTACTCGAATCGAGGTTTCTGTATTCAGTTCTGGGCACTTCACTCACTCGACTGCTCAGCGCGATCTGCTCCAGTAGCCGACCCATGGGTAGAGCCTGCCCAGATCCGGGCAAGTGCTTCACCAGGTTCACTACGGGCTTGTTGTAAGCATAGGCATCCACATTGAAGGTTCCATGAGCGGGAGCACGTTTCCAATGTTTTCGTTTCACCTGGCTAAAATGCGTCGCAGCTGTTTTAGAGATTATTAACTTATTAACTCTGCTAGAACTTTCATTGGAATATCTGGTTTTTCCTTACATGCTGCCAGGCTGATGGTGATCGCCAAAGTTAACGTTAATGTTATGGGTAGCAACATAATTTCGGGCGTTCCCGTCTGTCTGTCACCGAACTAAACCGATTTTTCGGCATTCACGCACATTTTATCGCCTTTCAATTTGGGTCAATCGAGGCGTGGGGCCTAATTTGCATGCCAAATGTTCTCAGAATGTGAAAACATTGTCAAAATAGACGCACAACAGCAGCAACGAAAAAACTGGTTCCGCAAATGGTCAAAAGCAACGGCAATTCTGGTAGCTGTTTTTTGTTATTTGAATAGGCGTTACACTGAGAGCAATTGCGAGTGACTAAATTGTATAAAAGTCAATATTAATAGTTCAACTGGTGTATACACTGAGACAAAATTTGCATACTAAGTTCTCATATATTTTATGTACTTAATAACAATCGCATTGTTTCATTTTAAAAAAAAAAAATGATTTTCTTACTTTATTATGATTTACTCCACGATTTCTCTCAGTGCACTTCTGTTAACTCTGATGTTGATCATAAAAGACGATTGTTATGGTCACAATAAATGGCGGACACGCTGCTGACCTGTCGCAGGGCCTTGACCAATTTGCCTTTTATGCGTAGCTTAAAATCTTAATAAAGAGCCAAGAGGCAAGCGTCAAACGACGGTCGACGAGCGAAAGGTGAAAGTTCAGATTAACATATCAAAGCTGAAAGAGATGTATGTATATGTAGATATAATACGCTGGCAAAAGGAAAGTAAGTGGCAAGCGATTTCAGAAGATAAATTGAATTTATTGTGTGACAGGAATACCCCTACTGCAGTTGCAATTCAATTTCGATGGCATTTTGGGAATTTATATTTCTCTATGAGAACATGTCAAAAGCAGTTGAAACAAAATAAAGAAAACTCCAAAAATAAACTCGAAAAAAAAAACTGAGACGAGAGCAACGCATAACGGAGTGACAGTCTGCACTTAGAGCACTTAAGATAACTGTATCTTGAGACAAGTGCAGGGTCCCAGGTCCAGGAGCTGATGATGATGTCCACAGTGGAATGAAGATTTATGAAAACTGTTGACAGTTAGCTCTGTGAACCGTAAACAGTGGGCCGCAGCGCAGCCAAACGAAATTTACATGCGGACAATGGTGCAGACAGCAAGAATGGCGAATGCCAATGAATGCAACGACATAATGCAAAGCGAAAGGAGCAAGAGCTTAACTATACATAGTCGCACAATCAATAC